CTTAATTAAACTTTTGAAATGGAAAAGTTTTTATTTACTTATGTAAATGCTTGGCGTGTACGCCGCCATTCGTTTTTCCGATTCGAAACTTTGTTAATTAGGCATGGACAATTTGAGCGCAATATAAGAAATAATAATAAATGAAGGGAACACAAAAGGGGCCAAGTGAAATGAAATGAAAGACTTATTGGGACCTAAATAAGTTTCAGTAATAATAAGCAGTATGATGAAAACCTCTAGAGTGTTACCTGAAAAACGTGAAATAGGGTATATTTTCATCAAATTAAACCTTTGTATATGCCGGTGTGTAAAGCTGCAAAGGCTTTGGGCTGTTTTTAGTCAGTGGCGAATAGCTACTTCATGAACAGTTCAAGAAAAATAGATTACTTTTAACAAGAAAGGAAGCTACCTTCGGCCAGCCGAAGCTTATATACCCTTGCAGATAAAGAATTGCTCACTCGGTGCAGTTCCAGGGATTCCAGATTCAGCGTTTCTATTTAAATTTTGTTTTTAAGTAGTCAAGAATCAAAACGCCTACTTCCTACAAAGTTACAATGAATTTTCTTATATTTGTTTGAATATTCCTATGGAAGCCTTAAGATATAGTGGTCCGATCCGGCTCGCTCCGACATATGTACTACCTGCAATAGAAAAAAGACTTTCGGGAAAGTTTCATCGCGATAGCTTTAAAACTGAAAGACTAGTTCGCATAGAAACGGACAGACGGACAGACGGACATGGCTAGATAGACTCGGCTATTGGTGCTGATTAAGAATATATATACTTTATGTGGTCGGAAACGTCTCCTTCACTGCGTTGCAAACATCTGACTGAAATTATAATACCCTCTGCAAGGTTATAAAAAGTTAAGCCAACTAAAATTAAATTTTGATAAATGGTGGGCAGAAAGATAGGACTAGACCTGAAAGCTGATCTCTGTAAGCAATTACTTCCAATGCCGATAATAAGGACGCTTTAAGTACTTCTGTTCTGTTCTCGCTGTTAGGCCTTTTAACCACCAAGGAGCAGCTAAAATTAAAAAGATTATAGATTATTTAATGGGGCGTAAGAGCAATTTACAGCGTTAAGAACTATCAAATTGTTGCCTTTTCCAGCATACCATACTTCTGTGTGTTTACTTTCGTCTGAGAAATAACTTTTTCCCGGTATTCTATTTAATAAAAGAATACTCACTTTTTTATTACATTCTCCCCCGCACGTTTGTTGAGTTTGCTTCTGTAGGAGCATCTTCCTCAATTCCAGTTGGCTTATTAAATAAATATTTGAGATATCCAAGGTATTATTGAACGCAAAACTTGTAAAGGTTGCAAAAGATCATAAAAAAAGGATTTTATTAAAGACATTTTAACGTCTTATTTTGATTAATAACATGCAAGGAATCTAGCTTGGGCCAACCGAAGCTTATATACCCTTACAGATCATTCTGTTAGTTTACAAATCGCAAAAATGTTAAATTTCCTATTATTTCAAATTAGTTTTTCGATCGTTTCTATGCAGTGTTGGGAAAGGTACTGTGTTTTTTTACCTAGGTAAGGTAAAAGGTATTGTCAAAAATAAATACCTAGGTAAGGTAAAGGTACTTAAATTTCCCAGTACCTAGGTAAAGGTAAAAGGTATTTATAGGGTATTTTTTATTTTTTATAATTTTTTTGTTTTGTTCAATGTAATCATATAAACTTAAAATAAGACTAGTTTTCAGTTTTTAGTCGTCTTAATCAAACAATATCTTTTCATTTCATTTAAATTTAAATGTTTTAATTTTGTGCATATATTTTTAAACCACGCAGCATGAATAATATTATGCACGTATCACTTCATTAATGTATTTATGAAACCCTCATGTACATATTTGGCGCGCAAAAATTCCGTATGTAGAAACATTGACTATATATTGTGCATATGCATGTATATGGGCACTTCCAGCAAAAAGTCCACCAAGCCAAAAAACTTGAAACTTGAAAAAAACATATTTCCACATGATTTTTCCGCCATATTAGTTTCTAATAAGTTGGATCCTGAGATAAACTAAAAATTTGGAGTATAGTTTGATTATTTTTATTACAAACCTCAAAAATATACACAAAAGTTAGTTTTTGGCCATTTTTTTGTTATTTTTTGGACCTGTCTTCTGTTGTTAATTTATCCTATAGGAATGCTAATATGTGACATTTTTCTGTACTGAATGCTTCATTTACATGTTAAACTATTAATTTAAAAGCAAAACATAAAGCAATTGAGGGATAGAGGTAAAGAAATCCACTTTACAAAACAGTCGAAAAAAATGTCCCGAGCGACATGTCCCGAGCGAATGTGCTTGAAACTGCATAAAAAAACAACGGAAAACAATTTTTGAGTAAAACCAAAACCATTTCACAGCGACATGTTTGAACTACATTCTAAAAAAATTGGCATTCAAATATTCCATCAGAATTCGCTAATTTCTGGTGTTGACTGAACTTCCCCGAAATCCACTTCTATTTTTGTCCCGAGCGAATACGGCAGTTTTTTAACGATATCTTAAAAACTAAAAGTGGTACAAAATCAAGATTTTTACAAAAAATAGAGCTTGGGGAGAGTGAAAGGAAATGCCCATAATTAAAATTAAAATCAATTTTGTTAAAATTTTTTTTCAACTTTAAAGGTGTGCAAATGTCCCGAGCGACATTTTGGAAGTGCCCATATGCCGTTTGTTTACGTACATACGGCATTTTTGCGCGCCAAATACACTTTGGTTTCATAAATAAATTGATGTAGTGATGGGAACATACATACGTGCACAAAATTATATAAAAAAAACTGCGATTAGTTTTAACTTTACAAAACAAACAATAGAACGGCTGAATTATTAATGCTGCGTTCCGACTATTACAATTCTGAAACGAAACGATACAATGAAACGATACTACAGTGTCGCAGTCAGATTTGGCTATATTAAATCAGAGCAATGTTTAATACCTATGTAAGTACCTTAATAATTCCAAAGGTATATAAAATTAAATACCTAGGTAAGGTAAAAGGTACTCAATTATTTGTATACCTAGGTAAGGTAAAAGGTACCACTAAATTGTACCTAGGTACGTACCTAGGTAAAAGTATCTAGGTATGTCCCAACACTGTTTCTATGTCAGTTATATGATATAGTAGTTCGATCTTTTTATACCCTTGCAGAGGGTATTATAATTTAAGTCAGAAGTTTGCAACGCAGTGAAGGAGACGTATATATATTCTTGATCAGCATTACTAGACGAGTCGATCTAGCCATGTCCGTCTGTCCGTCTGTGCTAAAACAAACTTGCGCTGCCCAAGAATACATATGGATGTGTGGTTAATTCCAACTTTCACACGGGGTCTGATCACGAATATGTATACTTTATAGGGTCGGAAACGCTTCCTTTTACCTGTTAAATACTTTCCTCGAATACAATATACCCTTTTACTCTGCTAGTAACGGGTATTTTTATGGCTCACTTGTGTTATTACTTCCAGGAAGATGTTTGTCTTTTTATTATAAAGTTCTCGCTTTTTTATTGGACACTAAGTTCTGTCTTTATCTAAGTTCCAATGTAAACATTTTTAACAAATTATTTTTAAATTAATAATTTATAAAAATAAAACGCGAAACTTTATTAATCGGGAAAATTAACCAACTCTACTCTACATAAATTGGCAGTATTGAAGGCGCGGTCTAAGGCGCGTTAAAAAAGCAAAAGTCTACACAATCCGTTGAAGTGGAAATTTGGATAAATAAATAAGGGATAAACACGTAAAGCGGATGTGCACGATGATGCGGATAAGTTATCCAGTTCGATTTGATCTGGGGTCTACAAATTCATTTGAGCATATGCACCGTGAGCCTACAAAAGTTAATAATAAGACATTTCTGCACTTTTCAAGGCAAATCAGGGTACACCGTTTAATACATTTGTAAGTCCGAAAGCAGGTTTCCATCTTTAGGCCAGTAATGGCGTTGGTTATCATGTAATATTCGAAACACGTCCGTGGCGTACATATATGTACCTCATTTACTTTTTTTTGACAGACTCAGCTCCTTCCATTGGACGCATTTCTGGAGAATCCAATTCACGTTTCAATAATTTACATTTAAAACACAAAATAAGAACACAACACAGCAGAGGAACAGAAACATATTATTGCAGAAAGCTTCACGTTCCGATAGTAAAAACTTCTTTTATAAAATGCTTTTAAAAGTTGTATTAAACCTGAATTAAGTTTACACTTCCATGCAGTAAAAACCATTATCAATGGGGCGACTTAATCATGTAGCTGCTGGTATAATTTTGTAAACTGGTGTAATTAACTCTGTAATATTTGACTATGTACAAATTTACAAGTTTTTTATAAAATAATAAAGTATCTAAAATTTCAGTCGATTTTGAAACCTGCTCTTTTATTCTCTATCGTCAATAAATGATTAAATACTGATTTAATTCCACATACTCCAACCTTTTTACTCTGCTGGGAACAGGTATTAATATTTGTACAACAGCTCATTGATGTATGATTATTTAGTAGCCACCATCAGCAAATTTTACCTATTTAGGCCCTTCAAAGAAGGTTGCCAAGCTAGCAACTAGTAAATATTTTTCCTGTTCAGTTCCAGCTTTCTGTGGGCATACCAATTCATTCATAAATTACGCACGATTCGGAAGTCAGAGAGGCTGGCCATCATGTGCCGAATGTTGACAGTCAAAGAACCGAAGCACGTGGCACACTTCTCACAACCCTTCGCAGTAGAGCAAGAACAGCAGCTATTTCCACGCTGAATTTTCCAAACAAAACGAGGAAAATTTCCCACTGTTTGGCCAAGAGAGCATTTTGCAACCCGGAGCGTTAAACTCAGAGAGCAAACTGCGATGCCGACTACGAAGTCGCTGCTGCTGCTTTCCACTTGCTTTTCTGACTCAATGGACCAGTTGGAAAAATTCACACAATCAGTTTGTTTTCAAATTTGGCCGCGATGCGTTCGTCTCCAGAGCGCTCTCTCCGCACGAAAAGTACTCGAACGGATAAAAAAGTTTTATAAAAATAAAAACATCATTGCCGCAAATAAGCTAACAAAATAAGTAAACTTTTTAAAAGAATAAAAGGTTTTAGTTTGCGATTCATAAGGAATTGCCGTTCCGAAAAAATAAAAATTCAACTATAAAAAGGAAGCAAGTAACAAGTAAAAAAGCGAATGTACAAATAATAAGAAAGTAACATTGCAAAACGATTGCAGTATGCGCATTTAGGGTGAAGTTTTATTACAAACGCAGTAAAATTATAAATGCAGTTGGAGCTTATTATAAGTTAAAAATGGAATAGAAAAGTATTGAGTAACAGAAAAGTGAAAAAAGTGTTTATAATAAAGAAACTAATATCGTTGTGTACCACATGGATCCGCAACTCACAATAATCTGTAGCTTACAAGGAAGTAAGTAAAACATGAACGAATAAGAAAAATTTCAATGCCAAAAAGGCAGTTTAAAGTAAGGGACTTGCACGTACTATAAATTTAAGAGACATGGTCAGCTAAGACATTAATCAAGCTAAGAAGTACGCGCAAAGTAAAAAGTAAAAAAAGAAAAAGAAAACTTTTAAAATAAAAATACACTTTCAAAAATTTATTAACTCTTCTCATTTTTACCATGGTATATGTTAGAGCGTATCAATGCAAAGACTTCGTAAACGAGGTCCTCCGGAAGAAAAGGGCAACCATGGCAAAGCTCACCTCGGATTAAACCTAAATATGGAACAAATATAGCACTGATTTAGTTATTAAAAGGACAATTTAATAATAACTTATTTATTTGTTAAACAACCTAATTATTTTTTTAGTAAGTTGTTAAAAGTTGTTATTATTTTTAAAGTTGCTACTTGTGTAAATCTCAACCGATTTACAATAACAATAAAACAGCACTCAAAATTAAGAAAGAGAGATCAAAGGAATCAAAGGAACAGTCAGAAAAAAGTAACTTAAAGTCTGATATCCCCATCATTTCCTTTTCTTACTCTTTTTTTTGCAATCTGGGATCTAACCCCAACTCGCACATGATTACTCACATGTCAGCAGAAAAAGAAGATTTATTACCGAGAAACCCAAAACCAAATGTTTGCCATTTCTCTGTGTTTTGGTTACCTTTTGTTTTTACCTTTTTGGCTGGGTCCATCCACCTTTTTTTCGTTTGTTCTTTTCTCAGGTCTTAGGTTTCTTGTTGGGAAATTAAACTATTAAGCTTTTTGCCACTGCTGCTGCTGATGTGCGTAAAGTTTTAATGAGACATAAAGGACATGCTGAAATTATGCCGGCCTTAGGCCCTGATCCTGCTATCAGACCAGGTGTCATTAAGATGGAGCGAAAGTCATTTTCCGTGCGGCTCGTAGACAAATTCACAAAGATAAGTGGACCGGCCGTAAAAGTTTAGTGGACCGAACGGACATAAACTGCCGCTGATTACCTGGAGGTAATTTTGTTGCTTGTCGCTTTTTTGCTTCATAGGTGTTTGAGCCATATTCGAGGGTCTGTCAGCAACAGGCACAGATTTTATGACACATTCGGCTCAACTCTTAACTATTAACATTGGTGGGGAAAATATATGCATATATTTATTTGGCTGACTCTAGCAATGCCTAAGACTAAATGCAAATAAGAAAGCGTTTTAATCCCTTTTACTTATGAAATTTGAGAAATCTAAACGAGGCAGAGTTTTTCATTGACAGAATCGTATTATTTTTCACATTCTATTTTCTTTTTTATCTTTGCCCATAGGTAAATATTACTTAGTCTACCCTTTTTCTCTTTTCTTATTGTTTTTAGCTGAACCTGTTGTTTTAATTCCGTGGATTGTATGTACATCGCTTATTTTTGTTGAGCTTGTTTTCGTACCATGTTTATCTAAAGTTCTAGTTTATTAAACACAACAAGCAATCTGAGAAAAGTATTATAAATTTATGGGAAATCCGAATATCTCATATGGCATTTGATCAGCGCACTTAATACATACATTTATAAAATGACTCAATCAACACTATCCATATTTCTCTTCGGGCATAAAATAGTTTAAATATTTTGACCACTCCATCATTGTCTTCATGCTTAGCTTGGCATGCGGCTACAAAAATAAATAAGTGCTGCAAAAGTTTAGCATTTATTTTTACCCGTGGGCCTGATACCATTTTATATTTATTTGCTTATATAGATTTATAGATTTTCTACATGCCAAGCAGAAAATGAAAACCACCAAATTGTTTTCTGCACTTGTTTTATATTAAAGCCGCTTTCCCTTAATCTTCCTAATAAATCTTTAGATTGCTGCCTCTGGTTAAAAAATATTAAATGCCTTAAAATTTAAAGTCTCATGCTCAAATTAAAAATAGATAAATCAATTTATTGAAAAGATACAACAGATGCCAAAGGGAAAGTATCTCAGATACATTAACAAGAAACCCTATAAACTGTTGTATAGAAAATACCAAAAAAGATAGCCCGCCAATTATACCATCCTCAAAAATGTTCTAACTTGAAAGTTTGTTTAAAATAAAAGTGTGTATATTTAGTCAGCAGTTCTCAATACCCATGTCGACTGGGCCTTGCCATTTATTCAATCGATGAGCTGACGTTGGTAATTAATCGTTTTGGCCGTTGACTTTGAGCAATTGTTGAAACATTCTTATGCCAAATGGGAATTTAAAAAATCCCTCATTCCCTTGTTCCCCATCATTTAATTGGCTGCTGTGTAAATTGCTCACGAGCAATCAAGTATCACCAATCAATAAATATTATTTAGTTGGCGCGACCTCCCAGCCATTTCGCATGATTTGTCATTTTGCCGAACGCAAATAATCAGCATCCTCATTGTGCTCACTTTGCATATATTTAAATACATTTCCCATTACGATTTCCTGTGCTTCCGCTTGACCGTCACAAATTTATTTAGTTTCATTTAACTTTTTACGCGTATCGTTTTTGCTGTTGGATCTGTGCAAATATGCAAAATGATTGACAGCACAATTAAGATGCCGCAAACAAGTGTAACTTGAGGTGAGGTGGGGCAAAATGGAGGGGGGCACGTGCCAGAAGCTGCAGCCTTATATGGCTGCCATAGTTACATTTTCATTCTTATTCAGCAGAAACAAAGCGCGTCGCAGAACATGTGTAACAGTAAACAAAAGGCGCTTGGCGTAACGTATTTTACGAAAGGTAACCAAGGCGATAGCTTTGTAAATTGTGTTGAGCGTCTCTTTGCAACTAATGTGTATGACCTATGTCGGATCCGAACTGAAGTATAAAATGCATTAAATTACATTGCTGTAATTTATCTTATGCGGCTAATTACACTATGCAGCATCAAAAATTTACCTCGATGGATGCTATATTTTTGGATTCGTTGCGAATTCCCAAGTTAAACTGCGTTTTCCAAAAAGTTCCCCGACGCAAGGATTCTTAGCAAAAGGACCTCAAAGTTCGAAAAATGCTGAAATTGGTCCACTTTCTGGTGCTCTCAGAGGCAAACGGATTCATGGTTTGATTCGATGTTACATTTTTTTAAAAGATACACTTTTTATCTTTCGAACCCCAAACTTAGAATAATTTTAGGATTTTTATTAAGGGAGAAACATAGTCAAAAATTTAAAAAGCTTACAGCTGCGGTCAAAATAGTAGTAGTATTGCCGCCCTGTGTTTTTAAAGGTAAGCATTGCAAAAGTAATTTAATATGCTAACCACTGCATTTGCTGGCTAAATAATAGTTAATAATAATAATATAGTTAATACTTTAAAATTTATAATAGTTTTTTAAACACTTTTTCGCTATGTTCTTAAAAACGGCTGTAACGATTTCTTTTTATACCCTTGCAGAGGGTATTATGATTTCAGTCAGAAGTTTGCAACGCAGTGAAGGAGACATTTCCGATTCCCCATAAAGTATATATATTCTTGATCAGCATCACAAGACGAGTCGATCTAGCCATGTCCGTCTGTCCGTCTGTCCGTCCGTCTGTCCGTCCTTCTGTCCGTCCGTTTCTACGCAAACTAGTCTCTCAGTTTTAAAGCTATCGGGATGAAACTTTCGTAAATGTCGTATTTTTATTGCAGGTAGTATATATGTCGGCACCAACCGGATCGGACAACTATATCTTATAGCTCCCATAGGAAGGATCAAAAAAAAAACGTAAAAAAATTCTAGCTCCGGTGTTTTTTGAAATTTTACCTTCTACTCTTGGGAATATTTTTTTTTATATATTTCTGAATTTCGGTTTTTTTGTTTTTTAAATCGGATCACTATATCATATAGCTGCCATAGGAACGGTCGAAAAATTAAATGGAAATTAATGGAAAAAAATTATATCTTTGTTGGTTTTTATTACAGTTCCTTCTACTCTGGGATATGACTATTTTGAAATATTTCCGAATTTCGATTTTAATTTTTAAAAGATCGAACTACTATATCATATAGCTGTGATAGAAACGATCGAAAAATTAATGTGAAATAATAAGAAATTTAACATTTTTGCGATTTGTAAATTAATAGAATGATCTGCAAGGGTATATAAGCTTCGACTTGCCGAAGCTAGCTTCCTTTCTTGTTAAATTTGCAACTTAATAGCCCTTGAGATTCCTCAACTTGTAATATACGTATATCACTTTTTATAAGTGCAACCCGTTTCAATTTAGTATGGACCCGTTTTAATTTAGTAGGGGAGTGTAGGTTAAGGGACGAACGATTCGATTTTTATACCCTTGCAGAGGGTATTATGATTTCAGTCAGAAGTTTGCAACGCAGTGAAGGAGACGTTTCCGACCCCATAAAGTATATATATTCTTGATCAGCATCACAAGACGAGTCGATCTAGCCATGTCCGTCTGTCCGTCTGTCCTTCTGCCCTTCTGTCCGTCTGTCCGTCCGTCTGTCTGTTTCTACGCAAACTAGTCTCTCAGTTTTTGAGCTATCGGGATGAAACTTTCCTAAAAGTCTTCTTTCTATTGCAGGTAGTATATATGTCGGAACCGACCGGATCGGACAACTATATCTTATAGCTCCCATAGGAACGATCCGAAAAAAAAAAACGTTAAAAAATTCTAGCTTTGGTGTTTTTTCAAGTATTACCTTCTACTCTTGGGAATATTATTTTTATATATTTCTGAATTTCGAATTAAATATTTTAAAAATCGGATCACTATATCATATAGCTGCCATAGGAACGGTCGAAAAATTAAATGGAAATTAATAGGAAAACAAATTATATCTTTGTTGATTTTTATTACATTCTCTTCTACTCTGGGATATTTCCGAATTTCGATTTTAATTTTAAAAAGATCGAACTACCATATCATATAGCTGTCATAGAAACGATCAAAAAATTAATGTAAAATAATAGGAAATTTAACATTTTTGCGATTTGTAAATTAATAGGAAAAATCTGCAAGGGTATATAAGCTTCAGCTGGCCGAAGGTAGCTTCCTTTCTTGTTTAACGTAATTTTTCCAAAAATCAATATTTTTCAAAAGTGTAAAGGAAAAAGTTGCTTACATCCACTGAGCATATTTCTGTGAAAGTACGATTAAAAATTCCAACGCAGCTAAATCCTACAGCGTTTGGCGTGAACCATTCTTTTTTGGCACTCTCAAAAATTGTAGGGTAATGTGACGAACGATTTGTTTTTAATGTAACCTTACCAAAAATCAATATTTTTTAAAATTGTAAAAGCAGAAAGTTGCTTACATCTACTGAGCATATTTTTGTAATAGTACGATTCGAAAATCCATCGGAGTTAGATCTCACAGCTTTTGGCGTGAGCCATCCTATCCAACTGACGGCTCGACTAAGATCAACACAAAACTACAATAAAACTGCAGCATTTAATGTTATTAGGTAATATTTGAGTTATTTACACAAAATCAAAAACAACAATTAAAATTTGTGAAAATATTTGTCATAATACAATATAAAAGTTTCGTCACGATACCCTACAAGGTACACTTGGAGCAAAAATAAAAAAATTAAAAAAACGCCAAGTAACAAAAACTGTTGATTAAGATCTCATTTGTACGAGCATATATTTATCTGATTTTATTTTTCACTCATCTTCGCTCTGGCACTGCTGAAGCACAAATAAATTGAATAGGTTTGCTAGTTTGAGCACCACCTTTTTAGAAAAAATTACCACACGAACAAATGACGGGACTTTTTAATAATATTACTGTAAAAACATTGTCGACACAATGAGTGGAGACGACTACATTTTTTTGGAATTTTTAACGTGACGTCATATGTGAGATACGACGAGTTCGTCACATTACCCTACACTCCCCTATGAAAAACATTTCATGCGTATTTGCTGTCTATATTTCCAACACCCACCACCAAAAAAACATAGAAATACTCGTTCCTAAGCTGTGGAATGCCTTCGCATTTGTGGTCAAATGTTTAAAATTATCTGTCACTCCACAAGGGAGCATTAAATATCATCAGAAAAGTTAAAGCGAGCTCTCTGCAAATTTTCTCAAATGGGTGCCAGCAACAGCATGCCACAGACTGTGCAGATGGCTAATCCGATGCCATTCGAGATCACTAGGGATGTGGTGAATAGGATCGATCAGGCCACCACGAAAACTACAAAATTGGGGACTAGGATCTGCGAGAAATGTAGTCAGAAGACCCAAGCGGAATTACGTTCCGATATTCCGACTACCATGAAGCACAAGCCGCATGAAGTGCAGGATATGCATCCGGTACAAGTGGCCAAGTCCTGGAAAAAGCGCTCGTATGAGGTTGAGGAATCTGAGTTCAGAAAGTCCTTACAGCGGGTTCAAAATCTCTTTGGAAAGCCTGTTAGGTGGGCCAAGGACTGTGAGGCCGAGATCGGGAAGTTCGAGGAGGAACTGATTCACTGCTATCAACGGTATTCCAACGAACCTCTGCAGTGCTCCAATTTAGCCAGACAGTATCACCGATTCGTGTTCGCCAGGCAGATCGGTGAAATCTCCAATACGAAGGCAGGTCGCGATGGCTCCGGTGATCCCAAGTCCCCCAGACATACTGGGAAAGCTGGCAAGCACAGTACCCCTACTTAAAGTTTCGTTCTGTGCTGCTAGATGTGATCACAGAGTCTTCAGTCAATAATCTCCAATTAATTTCCATTTTAATTCATTGGCTAAGGAAACACTAGACTGGTGTTTTTCATTAAATCTATTCGACGGAATTTTTAATAGAAAATATATTTGTATTTACCCACCACAATTCAATTCTAATCAGTTGGTGCCGCGCTTTATCTGGCTTGTTTCGTTCTTTTATTAACCTTGGCTGATTGCCCACCAACAAAGGTCTTCAAACAAATGAATGACAACATGAAAAGCAGGAAAGCCAGAAAATGAAATATGCATAAATAAAAAAAAAGCAAACACGTTCTAAAAGCTCTTCCCCCGCGCACATGCTCATCCTCCACAGAATGTTTGTTCTTGGATAACTACTTCTCTGCACAACGTGACGTATGCGCAATGTGTCGCTCGTAGCTTTTCATACCTGGCATGCCTTCCATTATACACGCATCGCAGGTGAAAATGCTCTGCTAAGTGAGTGGCCAGAGTGGCATTGGAATGCAGGGTGGTCCTGGGCAGGCAGGTATTCTAAGAACCAACACAAGACTTACACGGTCTTGAGTCTCAACGGCTGCCTTGAACCACATTGCGCCACAATGTCTAGCTCGATGTGCATTAGTGGAACTTACTCTTGGCATCCAAGTAAATGACGCGGCTTAGGGCAACATGGAGTTAAGGTCCTTACACTATCTGTATTCTAACCCACTTTATAAGAATTGAATTATCTATCTAATGGTGCTTCTAAAAGAAAATCTGATGATAAGTTGGAAGTCAAAAAACTAACTGACACTTCGGTTTTAAAGTCTTTTTTCATTTACCGAGCGTTAAAAAATAATTTTAATGAGAAATAGTCATTCAAATGGGTATTTATACCCATTACTCGTAGCGTAAAAGGGTATATTTTATTCGTGCAAAAGTATGTAACAGCTAGAAGGAAGCGTTTCCGACCCCATAAAGTATATATATTCAGGATCAGGGTCACTAGCCGAGTCGATCTAGCCATGTCCGTCTGTCTGTCTGAACGCTGAGATCTCGAAAACTACAAAAGCTAGAGGGTTAAGATTTCCCGCAAGTTTATTTTAGCCTTGCGCCACGCCCCCTCTAACGACCACAATCGTTCACTAACAATTTTGAAATGTGTCTGGCGCCCACACTTTTAAAGATTTTCGAGATGTATAAATGCCCTTATGTTGTGTATACTTATACCTATCGTAATCTAGAAGATTTTTCAAATCGGACCAAAAATATTAAATAATAAAAATGTTATGGCCAAATTCCAAGATCGTCTTTTTTCGATGGTGACTTGCGGATATGATGTTCTTGGGATATGATGTCCACCCAAGAACGGTTCATCTCAAATCCCCAATTCAAAAAAATTTCGTTACTATATTGTATTGCCTAGTCCCTGAACGAAGGATTTTTAAAAATATTGATTAAAAAAAAATTGCGACGGTTTTAACAAAAAATGTACTTTTTCAAGGTATAAAATTTTGGATTTATGCTCTAAAAAAAAAATTTTTTTTTAAAATTGAAAATCCTTCGTTCAAGGACTAGCTATTGTTATAATAAATAAGTGGTCAAAATTTTGTGTCGATCGGATTAATAGTTTTTTAGTAATCGTGTACACCGCAAAGGTAATTTCGAAAAAACGAGATTCTGAGATAATCGCGTTTAAAGTTTCATGTTTGTAAGGGCTGATGTGCAGGTAGTGCGCTATAAATAGCAACAACTTCGGTTCTAAAGCTCCGATCGTTTTGAACTTTTGTGAGAGTATTCCCAACAGTATATCCTTAAAGAATGTGCAATAAAAAAAAATCGATTTTTTCATCTATCACAACTATCACAACTTAAATCAAATTAGTTTTTTTTAAAAAAGTTGTTAGCGCTGCTCACCTGGTAATGCGGTTTCCCATTTCCAGCCATAAATCTGCACAACAAATGTTCTCACTATCTAGACGAGAGGAAGAAAACTTACCAAATGCCAAAAGTTGTTGTTTCCATGCGAAATTGGATTTTGAACATTGAGTTAGCCTCGCACCCAAAGCCAATAAAGATTTTTTGCAATTATTTATGCAAATGCAATTCCAGCGAAGAGCGAAAACTAAAAATGGAATCCCATCATATACATATGGGTCCATTCGACAGCAAAGTACCTCCCTCCTCAACAGTGGCTGCAAGGTCAAGTGCAGTAGTTATGGGAGACCAACGTCACAATTGTTAGTAATATCTGATTCGTTTGTAATTAAGCTCTTCGATAAATTAGTCTGCTTAGATTCAGCACTAAGAAATATATAAGGGAGTGTAGGGTGAGGTGACGAACGATTCGTTTTTTGAATGTAACTTTTCTAAAAATCAATATTTTTTAAAAGTGTAAAAGCAGAAAGTTTCTTAAAAGTACGATTCGAAATTCCAACGGAGCTGAATCCAACAGCGTTTGGCCATTTTTTACCATACACTGGTAAAAAAACGCATAGTAAAATCAAATATTTTTATACCCTTGTAGAGGCCCTTGCAGAGGGTATTATAATTTCAGTCAGATGTTTGCAACGCAGTGAAGGAGACGTTTCCGAGCACATAAAGTATATATATTCTTGATCAGCACCAATAGCCGAGTCTATCTAGCCATGTCCGTCTGTCCGTCTGTCCGTTTCTAGGCGAACTAGTCACTCAGTTTTCAAGCTATCAGGATAAAACTTTCCCAAAAGTCTTCTTTCTATTGCAGGTAGTATATAAGTCGGAACGAGCCGGAACGGACAACTATATCATATATCTCTCATAGGAACAATCGGGAAAAAAATTTAAGAAAAACTATATCTTGGGTGATTTTGAACCTATAACATCCTACTTTTGGAAATGTCATTATACCCGTTACTCGTAGAGTAAAAGGGTATACTAGATTCGTGCAAAAGTATGTAACAGCTAGAAGGAAGCGTTTCCGACCCCATAAAGTATATATATTCTTGATCAGGGTCACTAGCCGAGTCGATCTAGCCATGTCCGTCTGTCCGTCTGTCCGTCTGTATGAACGCTGAGATCTCAGAAACTACAAAAGCTAGAAGGTTGAGATTTCCCACACATATTCTTTGGCTTCCTACGCAGCGCAAGTTTATTTTAGCCGAGCGCCACGCCCCCTCTAACGCCCACAATCGCCCACTAACGATTTTAAAATGGGTCCTGCGCCCACATCTTTAAAGATTTCCGAGAAGTATAAATGCAATTTTGTTGTGTATATTTATACCTATCGAAATGTAGAAGACATTTTTCAAATCGGACCATTCATTAAAAAGTTATACGCAATCAAAAATTATATATCTATCTCCCTCGCACTCCCTTTAGCTGAGTTACGATTATTAGTCGGGACACCAACCCGACACAGCGTTCGCACTCCCTTTAGCTGAGTGACGGGTATTTGATAGTCGGGACAACAACCCGACTATAGCGTTCTCTCTTGTTTTTTATCTAATTCTGAATTTCGAATAAAATTTTTTCAAAATCGGACGACTATACCATATAGCTGCCATAGGAACGATCGGAAAATTAATGGGAATATAATAGGAAATAAATTATTGCTTCGTTGGTTTTTATTGTATTCTCTTCTACTCTAGGATATAACTCATTTCAAATATTTTCGAATTTCGATTTTAATTTGATCAAAATCGAACTACTATATCATATAGCTGCCATTGAAACGAACGCAAAATTAATGAGAAATAATAGGAAAATTGACATTTTTGCGATTTGTAAATTAATAGGAATAATCTGCAAGGGTATTTAAGCTTCGGCTGGCCGAAGCTAGCTTCCTTTCTTGTTAGTATTATAAATAGTAAGTTATATACATAGTATAACACAGGCCGACAAAATGTAACATGTAAATGTCACAATTTTAAATATCATAATTCTAAACGATCTAAGTAGTTTTGCTTTGAGTATAAGCACATGAGCGTAGCCTACTAATCTTTGGGGGCTGAAACGAATGAAGTGTAATCCCCCTCCAGTTTTTAGCTTACGCCCAAGTATAAATATTTTTAAAGCAAGGGTCACTTGTGCTCAAAAATAGGCAAACTTTGTTAGTAAGCTAAACACAAAATAAATAAATCATTGAATTTAATAAAAAGCATTTTTAAACCTTCGTTCAAATATAAAAATAATTAAATCGAAGGGAATGAATTTTGAAACGATAATACTGATTTTGAAACCCAAAGTCGCAATAGTAGTTCTAATACCCAGCTAAAGGGAGTGCGGACGCTGTGTCGGGTTGGTGTCCCGACTAATAATCGTAACTCAGCTAAATTGAGTAGGGGAGAGTGGGGGAATTTCGTCAGCATTTTTTCAAAGCTATTTTTTGTCCATTCTGAGACACGTTATCATATTTCTATTTTTATTGTTAAATGCGGTTAGCACCAAACTTTAAAATGTGACATTCCCCTATTTTTTTAATTAGCTTGGTGATTTATAAAAAAATAAACTGTAAAACCAATATACTGGGGCAATCTCACCACACAGGGGGTAAAATCACCACACAACTGGGGAAATTTCGTCACCTGAAAAATGTAGGGAGTTTAACGCCTGAAAATATGCTACACTGATCAAGCGTACCATTTTTGTTGACGTCTTATATTTGTTGCTGCTGCTGGTGGTCTGTTCGTTAGCCAGCTCGTCAAATATAAAAATATGTATTTAAAATAGGTGCGAATTTACCCTTAGCGTAGGGTGGCGAAATTTCCCCAGACCGTACTTTTTTAGAAATAATTATTTTTCTTGCGAAATTAGGCGCGAAGTTAAAAATCACTGACGCAGAAATGCACATTATAGCACTGTGTATTATATAAAAAATCGTGTATCTTATTCCTTTTGAATTGTGGCATACAGAAACAATTTCGTCGAGAACTAAATGTAGCTTTTGAACTGTTAAACCACATTTAATATTATAGCTTAATTATCTTGGCCTTCTGTGCAAAACAAATGCATTGGTTGTGTCTGGCCGTCTTGAAGGACTAAAACAAAAAAATTATATATTTTTACGACTTATGGATTCCGAGATATTGCAGGTGACGAAATTGCCCCTGTGACGAAATTCCCCCACTCTCCCCTACGAGGGAGATAGATATATGTTGACAATTTATAAAGCGTATAACTTTT